AATATTGGTTGCAAGGAAAGTTGCTGGATTTGGGATCAACAGGTGGCAGCTCGTTACAGCTACCACAATTGGGACAGGCAACTCAGTCGTTAAGTGAAAATCACTAAGTGAAACCACTACTGTGCTTATGATCTTCAGCTTTCCTTTGCTTTACAGACCTGTGAAGGTCATAAAGGTGAGGATTCATTGCAAACATAGCTGTGAACAATCACTAAACAAGGCAGTCGCTAAATGAGGACTACATGTATTCAGGTAATAGCTTCATAAACAAAGAGTAAATGACATGCAAATTTCATATTGTTCCTGAGAAGCAGGTTTACAGCCCAGAGGCAGGCCCACAGTTGCTACTGAAAATCAAAGGCAGATCAATGAGTTATAATAACCTGTTTTCGTGCTTTTAAAAGGTATTGTAATGTTTCCCCTAATCTTTATTGCTGGCTGGGGAATTCTGGGAGTTGAAGTCCACACATCTTAAACTTGCCAAGGTTGAGAAACACTGCTATAGAATAATCTTATGCTTATTTATTCTATGGTTCTGGTACATGGATAACACAACTCTGCCAAAGGAGATGTAGTGTAATGTCCTTCCATTGCTATGCACCTCTAGCAACAAACTGGCTGAAAACATTTGCAGTCTGGGCTGCTACATTTATTAGTAGTAGTAGTAGTAGTGACAATAGTAATACTACGAATAATTTTGCAGCTCTCCGCTATACAGTACCTGATAGCATTTCTTTGGCAACGTCCTCCTTGCTCAGCCTGATCCTCTTTTCTTCCAGGTCCTCTCCTTGCTGAGACTTTCTCAGGGAGAGACAGGCTGGCCTGGTTTTGCTGGAGTAGTCTGTGACTGCTGGAAGAGCTTTGACACTGAGTGAACTGGCTATAAATAGAAAAAGGGGAAAAATCAATAACTCCGAGGCCAGACAGAATGCAATTTAAACCACCCTTCCATCGCCTGCTGCTGGCACTCTTTTCACTGCCTCTTCATCTCAGAGCTTGGCTTTTTGTCTATATTTTGCTCGGCTTGCCATTGGTTTGGGGCCCAAGGTGGCACCCTTCTCGGAGGCAGCGTATTTGCAGTCCCTGGGAAGGTGTTTAAATACCAACAAGCATGCTTTTCCTTTTTGAGAATGCCACAGGCCAAAGGCTCTACTTTCAGTTGGAAAAAGTTGCTTTTTTGAGAAATTCTCAGATAAGCATGTCCCTAAATAACCCCTAAAACACTGGCAGATGAGGAGGTTCCATTTTAAAATGTTGGTATTTTTGACTTACCAGTATTTTCTCTGACAAGGAATGTTCAGTTCATAGCATACAAATATTGTGTTGTGTTATATGCGATAAGTGTCTTGCCTGGGTGGGGGAATGCTTTTCAGAGGTCAATCCTCTGTGAAAAAGGCTGACAGAGAAAAAATGGTTTTCTGTTTGAAAGCTGAGCAAATCTAGTCAGGACTAAAGAGCCATAAAGAGAAAGCACAAGGAGGGTCTTTGCCCATCAATATTTAGTAACCTGGGCAGCAGACCAAACAGGTACATACTGTAAGTTGCTTGGTCCACTGTATTAAGATGTAATGCATTTTTACTTTTACTTTTATTTCTATTATTATCATTATTATTATTTTGGCGCAGAGTCAGGTTTTTTTTTTGACTCCTGGCGACTGCCTGGACAAGTCACTGCAGTTTTCTTGGCAAGGTTTTTCGGAAGGGGTTTGCCATTGCCTCCTTCCTAGGGCTGAGGGAGAGTGACTGGCCCAAGGTCACCCAGCTGGCTTCACACGTAAGGTGGGACTAGAACTCATGGTCTCCCAGTTTCTAGCCTGATGCCTTAACCATTACACCAAGCTGGCTCTAATGCATTTTTATTTCAGTGTTGATAAGCATCTCTAAATTTGCTCATACATGACATTTAAATCCACATTTTGTTTTGACGTCTTTTATTGGGTGATGCAAATCTTCTCCCTGTTTTGGGGAGATGTTTAAGTGTTCACTCATATTGGCTGTATTGTATTAATAGACATGGAATCTTCGTAGTCATAAGAGTTTGTTTCTGTAATATATTTTATGTGGCTTTGAAAAAAGTTCAGATGCTTTACTGAGTACAGAGAAAGCCCCTGTTTGCTTACAAAGATGAAGACAGATGTGATGTAGACATCAAGGAGGTGGTAAATTGGTCTCCAAGTTGTACCACTTCAGCTTTCAGGTGGAGGCTAAAATGACAGAATACTCTTCCCAACTTAAAATTTCCTTCACCTAGAACATGCTGGCTGGGGAATTCTGGGAGTTGAAGTCCACACCTCTTCAAGTTCCCAAGGTTGAGAAACCCTGACCTAGAAAGTACAGTAGATGCCAGGGAAAAGTTTTAACCCTGCCTTTTTTTTTTAAATGGAACAATCCAGGCATAGGCTTACCATTGCAGTGAGAATTAATAAGAGGACTGCAGTGGGAAATTAATATGAATTTATCTATACACACATATGCATTATAGCCATCAAGTTTCAGGTATAATGTATACAGTATCGCAAAAATGCTCTTGGGAAGGAAGGACTGTGACTTATCCATATAAATTTGTGGCACAATATGCAGAAATATCATTTTTTAGTAGAACAGCTTTGGAAAGTAAGGCATTTCTAAGAGAGCAAAGAGATTTAGGGGTGGAAAAAAGGCCCTTTCAAATAACCTTCAATGGTAAATGAAATCCTCGTTCTCTAACCATGTCTATAAAAGCTTCCAAGAAGCTACCTTGATTAGAAAAAAAGTACAAGTACTGTATGCATGTGCCACTGTCCCATTTAAGGCTCTGCTGTATTATTCACTTGCTACATGTGGTGAATTAGGGGCACTAATGGGAGCACTCACTTGAGTTTTTCAAATATGCCATTCCCCTGCTTCAGAATTGACATTTCATGCCAATAGGGTTGGGGGTCCATTTGCAACTCTTCTGTGTTTTTCAGCTTCTTCTTCTACTGTGCAGTGTATTTTGATTGTAACTAGTACCACTAGGAAGGTAAGGTCTCTTGACTTTATAACTATTCCATTCCAGCTGTGCAGTGCTTTTCGATTAGATCTTCAAAAGCGCTTTGAAGTGTATGGGAATGGGAATGTAACGCCTGACTGGAACGTGTTAAAGCAGCTGTGCTTGATCCCAGGGAAAGGTGCAGATGTTTTAAAGTACAGGTATTCCTAATTTAGCAACCACAATTGGGACCGGCAATTTGGTCAGTAAATGAAGCGGTTGCTAAGTGAAACCGCGACTGTACTAAAGCTCTTACTTCAGCTTTCCGTTGCTTTACAGATCTGCAAAGGTCATAAATGTGAGGATTGGTCACCAAGTTACTTTTTCATCACCATCGCAACTGCGAACAGTTGCTAAATGAGGCTAAACAAGGACTACCTGTACTTTAGAAGATGCAATGTCAATGTTTTTGCAGCCCTTTTTAGAGATCCATTCCAAGGCACTGCACAGCCCTGACGTTCATGAATTTTCTTGACAACAGTTCAGAAATGGATTGCTATTGCCTTCCTTCAGGATGTTTTTTTGACTCCCAGTTGAGCCTTAGAATTCCCTGGTAATTATGATACCTGCTGATGCTTCACTTCCAGGTCAGACAAGGCCTGTACATGTTGCTACTTAGCTAGTCATCTGTCTAGAAATACTTCAGGTTTTCAAATCTTTGGCCAGCAACACATTTTCTTGAAAAGTGTTCACAACTAGGTGATGGGCCAGCCTCTCACACTTCTGGAGAATGTTCCATAAAACGTTGTAGCAAAATGTGCAGGTTTCTCAGTGCCTTTCTGCAACCATTCACCATAGGTCTGCATTTTTCTTTTTTGTTTAGATGGGGAAAAAGTTACCTAGTAGTGACTAGAAAGCTATGATCATCATCTCCTGGCTGCCAATGATCTGGGCTGGCCCATGATATTTTAGTGCCTGAAATGCAGCAATATTCTGTTGTTTATGGCAGGGAGTATGGTTGAAAGCTGGGAAGAGTTGTGGAAGGTGGATGAAAACCAAAAGGCTATTTACATTATAACCCATACTGCAGAAGAGCAGTTAAGGTGGCCTGGCCCGTAGGATATAGCCAATTATGATGGCCAGTGAGGTCATCACTAGCACAGCATTCTTCCTCGGCCTTGATATTAGGGAGCAGGCGATTGCACTGATGGACAAAAAGGCCGTCCTCCCCCCATTCTGAATATAGATGCTGACAGGACTGGCAGTTGTCATTTATAATAATATTATTAATTGATCAGTTAAAAATGTTGAGCAATGCACCCCCACGTATGTATGCATGTTTATTAATTCTTTAAATGTACTGCTATAGTAATATATGTACAGGTAGTCTTCGAGTTACGGCCGTTTGTTCAGTGACCATTCAAAGCTATGACAGTGCTGAAAAAAATGCACTTACGAGTTGGTCCCTGAAGTTATGGCCATTGCAGCACCAGCACCCCAGTCACATGATTGCGATCTGGGCACATGGCAACCCCTTCGCACTTATGACTAGTTGCCAAGCACCCCGCGATCACATGATCATCATCTGCAACCTTCCCTGCTGGTTTCCCACGTCAATGGGGAAGCCAGCAGGAGAGGTCACAAGTCACTCTGGTAAGTCTCCCCCACTCTCTCCGGCCTTTCTTTGCTCACACGCACCACACCCTCCTTCCCCCTTTGCTCACTCACTCACATGCATGCACTGAGCCCTCCTTTCCCCTTCACTTGCTTGCATGCACCGCACCCCCTTTATGCTGTGGCACGGCTCTGGGGCTTGCAGGAGGAAGGGGAAAGCTTCACAAATGGCTAGCAGTTTCCAACATGAGCTGCAGAGCATGTGCCAGAAGCGCCCCTGGAAAGTCCTTGGGTGAGCAAAGGAGGGAAGGAGGGTGCACTGCATGCAAGACATCGAAGGAGGAAGGAGGGCCAAGAAGCCCCTAAGCCACAGTGTGGCAAGCAGCCCCAGAGCTGTGTGGTTCTGAGGCTGCTTGCCACCCTGCAGAGTGGCCAAAAGGACAGAGATTGAGGTGGGGAGATAGGTGGGAGGAGAGTTGGAGGCAGTCTCTTATCTTACTGAGGCTCAAGGCTGGGAGGGATCAAGCCGGAATGGCTTGGGTGGGTCCTCAGCTAACGACTGATGGAATTCGCTTAACGACGGCAATGAGGAGTGCTGGGATTGCCGTCACTAAGCGATGCAGTCACATGACATTTTGCTTTATGACTGCATCACTTAGTGATGGAAATTCCAGTCCCAATTGTGGTCATAAATGAGAACTACCTGTATATCATAAAACATAACCACCAAAATAAAAATTGAAAAAGGAAGAGAGAAAGGATGTGATATATAAATATAAATATAAATAAGCGTTCTACTAACAGAGAGAGTAAAAAAGATGACCTTGATGGAGATAAGCCAGATCTGTTCCCAGAGCAACAAGGCAAGAAGCACAACTCAAGCCCAAAAAATCTGAAGGGAGGAGAAAGTGGCTGAGACAGACACCTCCTTAGTTCACAGGAGTACAAAGGGGCGGGGGGGGGAATAAAGCCCAACCAGGCTTGCAGATTCTGCTGCTATAGCTGATAAAATAGTTTTAACCTTCCTTTGGAGTTGTTTTCTTGGTCTGGTATACATAGTGGGGCTGACAACTCTTTTCTTCCTGTTCCCCGATGGTGTGTCTTGTATATGCCCTGATGAGCATGCTGTCCACTTTGGAGACCACTGGGCTTGAGTAAGGAGGGCAGGCCTCCTGCAAACACAGTAGGGGGTTACTATTGTTCACCTTACTATCTGTCAGCTGTCAGCTGTCTCACTCTGCCTAATAGTAGAGCAAGCCCTTTGTGGGATCATGATC